AGCTGGGCCGCCAGGCCCATTGAGGGCTGAATGGACCTCTTTTTTTTCTCTCTCTCGTGCGTGGGCCGAGCCAAGCCGTCAGCCCGAGCCCATGCCCATGCACTCTCTCTCCACATCACACACTCTCCTGTGAATTATTCTCTCTCTAGTCTCTCGTCTTTCTCTCCATCGTGCAGTCTCTCTATCTCTCATGTGCTCTTCTCTCTCTAATCTCTCATCTCTATCCCTCTCCCTCGCCAACTCTTCTCTCTATAGTCTCTTGTCTCTCCCTCTCCGTCACCCACTCTGCTCTCTCTAATCCCTTGTCTCTCTCTCCTATATGCTCTCCTCTCTCTCTCCCTCATCTGCTCCTCTCCCTCATCTCTCATCTCTTTCTCTCCTCTCTCTCTATTTTTCTTCATTTTCTATCTTCCACATACTCTCTCTCATTCTTGTGCACCCTCTCATTCCTGTACATCCTCACGAATCCACCACTTACCACTCTCATCTCTCAACCACCCTAACTCTGCATTAAACATCACCCACTCATACCTCTAAGCTAATAAAATATCACTCAAACCCCTTTGTACTATCACCCTTCCATTTAAACCTGCATTAAATCCCTTGAAATTTCAAACCCTCAAACATTTAAACCCTCACCCTTCAAACTTTAAACCTCATTAAATTCAATTCCACTTTGACCATCCTTGCCTAAGTCTATCTAGCCCCCCCCATGGAATGATATCTTATTTATAACCCACCATGAGGCCGCCACCCTCACCTGGGTCCACCAACTACCTAGCCCATCTTACTATTCATCCCCAAAGGAGTCACGAATCTCACAAGTTTCACCCCCCAATAAGCTTCCATGTCATTAACCTTATCAAACAAACCCTCAATCCCCAATTAGGTCACACCTCCGTCTCCAATTGACCATTTCCTCCTCACTTGGCTCGACACATTTTTGTTACTCATGGTGTAGCATTCGAGACCACGAAAGGGCGCTCTCACCTGAACCAATTCAACCCCTAGTGAGTCCTCATCACACTCATTCCAAACTTTAGGAAACTACCCAGATAAATCACTTCACCATAGGTTGAGTCAGCACCTTCACCTACCATTGAGCCTCATTTAAGGTCTTGAATGAGCGCTCTCACCCAAGTCAATTACAATGACCTAGAATCACACCCAAAGCCCTCCATAACCCCCAATGAGCCAAAAAAATGCCATTCTAACCCACTCCTACCTCTTTACCATCAAGAAGGGGACATTCCCATCGTCCATCATATGCTTCACCACAGCATATATCTGAAAAAAATGTAAGAAAAACAAAGACGGACGTGGCCATGAAGCCACAGGTAAAAGTGCCCAAGAAGATGGGCATTGTGAAAACCCGAGAGTGCACTACGAGTGAAAATGGAAAAATAAAGACGGATGTGGACATGAAGCTACGGGTAAAAGAGTCCAAACATAGAAACCGGGCATGGTGAAAACCCGAAAGGGCGCCATGAGTACAAACAAAAATAAAGGCAGACATGACCACGAAGCAGTTTTCACAAAATCGAATCAGAACGGTTAACTGGATATGTGTCTGGAAGTGATTTAACAGGCCTAACTGGTAAACCGGTTGATTCAACCGCCCTAACCGAGCAAGTCTCGGGCGGTCAAAAAAATGTTGCCAAAAATAAAAAAGATACAAAAAAAAAATCTACTAAGATATCAAAAGCATATAAAGAATGACTAAAACAAAACACATTCAAATGAAGTTGAAAATTAATGAAAAAATGGATTTTAACTAATCGATTTGTGCCTACGGGTATTTTTAAAATTTTCTAAAAAAAATGAGAAAATATAAAAGTAAGTATTAATGACCAAAACAATTTTAATCTTTACCATATTATAAAGAATATTAAAAAATATATTGCAAATCAAATTCCTTATTTTTGAGAATTTATATACATTTTTTGAAAAAAAAATAAATATCGGTTGATCACCAAAACCGGAACCGATCTAACCAAGCAGTTAGCGGTTAGATTGCCTGGTTTTGCGAACATTGCCATGAAGTCACGGGTAAAAGAGCCTAAAAAAGGGGGAGTTGGTGAAAATTGCTCTACAGCACCACTTCTACTCAGTTCAAGTGAAAACCTAAACGGGCGTCTGGACCACTAAGCAGGTTGATGCAGCGATTGCCTACATGGGCAGATTCAGTCGGCCCCTCCGGACAAAAGTTCGATAGTTTGGGTGTCAATTCCTCTCAAAAGGGTACCCTACTAATGGAACCAAAAAGAACTAAAGAAAACTCCAACAGCTCGTGTCAGCCTACAAAGGGCCCCTTATGGTCAGAAAGATCAACAAGATGGCAAGTTGGATCAGCCACATGTCAAAAGGACTCCCTTCTAAGAAGTCAACAACAACAATAAGATCACATCGACAAACCAAGGTCAATGCTCCCAAAAGGCGGTTGATTGTCAAGCCAGAGCAATACCTTCCTCAACATCAAGGGTAACCGTCTTATTGACGTTCCTAATTGCTGATAGTTTAGAATTTTCAGGATGGCCAACAAAAAGCCCCTGATTGAGCCCATAAGATTGGGGTTCAAGCCCCAAAGAGATCACCTCATTAAGATCCCCGATTGTTGATGTTTTAGAAGGCTGGTGTAGCAGCTCATACACTTCAAACACCCCGCTTGTCAAACACTTCAAAACCCTGGTGTAGCAGCTCATACGGCCCATTAAGGGCCCTCAACTGTCTATCCAATGCACAAACGAAAGCCCTTAAGTATGAAGGAAGACCTTAAGAAAGGCCCCCACTAGAAGATCGAAACCAAAAGCTGACGGATGGGGAAGGAAGCCCTTAAGCAAGGCCCCTAACTGCCAAACAAATCATGATTCTGATAAAACTGGGCCTACAAGCCCTTAAGCAAGGCCCCCAGTTGTTGGAATAAAAAAGAACTGCTAAAGTGGGAAGAAAACCCTTAAGTAAGGCCCTCACCAGTAGATCAAATCCGAGCATTGACGAGTTGGGTCTACAAGCCCTTAAGCAAGGCCCCCCCAGCCACCAAGCTCCCTTAAAAGAATTGCAGAAGTGTGAAGAAAGCCCTTGAGCAAGGCCCTAAACAGGGTCCCCAGCCATTAACCTCCCTCAAAACGTTTTAGCGGACCTAGGTTTATAAGCCCTTAAGCAAGGCCCCTAGTCATTAGAGCTAAATCCACCTCAGTCATCCGCAACATAAGAAACTTGGCACGATTTCCTTTCAATGGTTGTGTTGATGCCGATGATCGGAAAGAAAAACAAAAATTGAAGAACCAAGTTTGTTCCGAATGGCAAAATTCGGTGATGCAAGCTATTGTAGGGTATTTTTCGACACACTACATCCCCAGTGTGAATAAAAAAGAAGTGAGTCGTAACTAGACCTACAAGTTCCAAAAACGCTTGTGGACTATAGAAGCACTGACTATAGTTTTATTTTAGGTGGATTTGCAAAGGTGTCAGATCGAGCCCAAAAAGTTGGCCAAATTAAGACTTCCCACTCCCAACTTAGGACTTCCCACTCCCAACTTAGGACTTCCCACTCCCAACTTAGAATCCCTCACTTCTACTTCCATAATCCTCATTGTTCGTGTCTTCACCTCAAACTTGTGAGTTGCCGTTTTCCCAAACATGTTGCATCACTTCCTTGAGCTATGATACCACTTGTTGGGAACTGAGGCTACCTCGATTACCCCTTATTGCGATGAAGCCCTCACTACAACAAATGTAACAACCTCGAACCAACTAGCCAATTACTAGCAAATTGATTCCAAGATTGATTGGGCTGGTGGTGGCTTGTCATACCTCTTTTCTTCATGAGCCTCATGTAACCACATAAATGTGTGTGCGCCTTCTCCTTTTATATGTGTTGTGATTTGGCGATATCCCATTTTGGTATCATTGTTATGGGGTGCCTACCACATTAAGTAGAGATTTGGGTTTCTTCTGATTCGCCAATAGTAAGTGTATCGAAAATTATTCACCTAAAGCATGTGTGAAGGTAAGATGGGGTAAAGAACTCAAGGATAAGAGTGTTGAAGAAGATGAAGTTTGCATGAGAAGCACAAGCATGAAGGAAGATGAACAAGGCATGCTTATGGAAGTTATTGAGCTAAAGAAATTGTGGAATTGGCTAAGTTCTCTAAGTTCTTAAAAAAGGGAATAACCGGATATGGTTGGCAAGACAAGGGTGCAATCGTCGGGATATGATGCCAAAATCACTCCCATATGGCATTCCCTCTTTCTCTTTCATGACGGGTATTTTCATCATAAATAATGGCCTTTTATGGAGGCTTATAAAAGTGAATTTTAGAGAGAGATAACAAAAAGGAAAAGTGTAGAGAAGTTTGGAAATTGAAATTGGGTTTTTGCACAAATCCTAGCACCATTATGGCCTCGTATTGGGACGGTATTTCATCGACATTTATTCGTTGCGATGGTCCTAGTCGACAGCGATGAAGAGATGAATCGATTGATGGTGGTATTGTGGTAAGAATTAATTATTTGAGCTTTTTTTGTCATTGTATGACGTAATATGTACAAAACTCCAAACTTGTAAATTTCTTCCAATGATAGTAAATGCATAATTACCCTTTGCCCATGGATGTAGCTCAATTTGGGTGAACCATGTAAATTGGTATGTGCCTTCTACTTTTATTTGTGTTGTGGTTTGGTGATTTTTCATTTTATTTGTTTTCTTGTTTCTATTTTTTCGAAATAAATCGCATATTTTTAGGTATTTTGTTTGGGTGTTGGAGTCATTATGATGGGGTGCTCACCACATCAAGTAAAGAATTGGAATATCCCAATTTCCCAACAAATACAGCAACAAGGACCTTGGATTTGGTCTCACTATGTGCAACAGCAGTAGAAAGATGTTCTCTAATTAAGTTTCACCTCTACATAATAGTCTAATTGCATAAATTTTCAAACATGTCAGTATATTTCACAGTATTTAAACCCATTTCAGGTGTTCGAAGAAGAAGAAATACCTATTGCAAATCCAGTTCGGCTTGACTCCTTGTGCCTCAATGCAGTGTGGACACATCCACTTCTTGTTTTCCCTCACCTCCTCCATTTCTGATATGAGTCCACTCCCCATTAAAATCTAAATCCTCAAAGAAACCTTAAGAAACAAAAGAAGAAATGAAAAATTTTATATTTTTAATGCTTCCTACCTTCGCCATACCGAACTTTAAGGCAGGCTCGGCAAAATACCCCGTTCGGTGAATGGCAGACTGAGCAATCCGTCTTTCCTGTTTTGAATTTGAATCACCATTGATCAGTAAGAGTAACTCAGTCACAGAGGTATAATTTTTCATATTAAAAAGATCAGTAAGAGTAACTTTGTCATTTTAGGGAAATATTATGGACCTAAGCAAGGTTGCTCCATGTCACGATTTTCACACCTGAGGCACCCTTCTTCCCCACAGAGCTTCTTCTGCCTGCAAGGGTAAACAACTTCCATTTCCTAATCTTAAGAAAACAAGAAAATTAACAAAAACAAAGGGTTTCAAATCGTTGATTAGAGATTTAGTGGCCCGTGCACATCCGATCTCAGGTGCACCCAATTCATCTGGGACTTCAATCCAATGTCATACATGGTGTGGGGTGGGTATTATGGTTGTAGACATTTGAGAATTACTCAGATTAACAGTCCAGATGTGCTGGGTGAATCTAATCCACTATGCATCTCTGGCTCATAGGAACATTTTTCTCTTCTGCTCGATCAATATAACAACATCCAAAAAAAAAACAGAAAGCTGGAAAAAAACAAGTATATCTAATCTTGAAATATTTATACAAATATAACAACTCTAACAAATATATTTCTCCTTGGCTAGTTATATTTTTTTTGGGAAATATTACATTTATGCAAGAATGAAAAAATAAAATGACATGTAAAGCATTAAACTCTAAATTTCATAAAAAAGTAAACGGCCTTAAAAATCATATGTAAACATAATTTTATATAAACTTAAATTGGGAAATATGTATAACCAGAATTTGTAAATCCCTATCATATTTACGGTCTAGTCAAATACATATGTAATTTGATGTGTTTTATAATGATCCGTGAGTTTTTATTGTCAAATGTCCTATTTTAGTATTTCTTTTTTTGGAATTTTTTGAAATGTCTCCAACAGTAAATCAATTTTTCTAAATTCTTTTTTTTATATTTTTCCATCTCACTCGAATCCTCATGTTGTTTTTAGTTTTGTTCCACTTTAAAAAATTTTATTTTATTTTTAGCATTTTTTTAATTTTCTAAATTCATTTTTTTATAGTTACTCAGCTCGGGCAAAGGCCGAGTCTGAAATCTCTGATCCCCATTTCTATTGCCATCATTTTTTTTTTCTGTTCGTCCCAGTTTTCTAGTTTTGTTTTGAAATTATCATTTATTTTTTTAAGAAATCCTAAGGACAACCAAAATTTGGAAGAAATAGCCCTTGTCAACAAATTCCAAATGCGTATTACCATGCATAAATATTAAATCAAGACCTGCAAAAATGGCAACAAATACCCAAAATAGGGTCATAAACGCTGCCCCTGCCCTTGCTGTCGCATCTTCGTGCCAAAACCTCAGGTGAGAGTTGCAGAATCGTTGGATTAATCATCACTAATGGAGCATTCGCAGGCCTAATCTCATTTTCTCCATCAGAATCACGCAATTTCAACCTTCTATAAATCCTTTTAGCTGGTTCAGAGAGGCAAACAAGCCCTGTATCTGCAAATCTCAAATGAGTACAAGACACTAGGTTAACATTAAAAAACAAAAACAAAAAAAAAAGAATAGAAGAGACTGAGTTAAGGCTGATTCTCTCTCTTTGTGACTACAAGAGACTGAATTTAGGCTGATTATCTCTCTCTTTGTGACTCTTGACTTTTTTTTTTTTGGTAGAATCTCATGGTCATGGAATGAACAGGAGTACCTGGTTTGGAATGTGATATGGGAGTTTTGGGTTCATTTGATTTGTCTTTAAGGCGTGGGGATCGTCTGAGAGCTCCATGGTCGAGGACTCTTTTGCAGTGCTTGTTTGTTGTAGATATGTTCGATTTTGTAACAGAGAATAACACTTTCAGGTCCACGGTTTGTTTCTCTAGTCCAAGAGATGCTAAACGCGCCTGTGTAATGGAGAAGAACAATCAAGAATTGAGGATTTGAAGATGGAGCCGAAGAAAAATCAAGACTTGAGGATTTGAAGATGGAAAAAGAGAGAGAGAGGGGGGATTTGAATAGAATGGGACCTGGTTTTCTTTGATCCTGGCATTTCGTAGCTCCTCGTAGTCACTCACCCGTAGTCTTCCCATGGCCGCACAGACAGAGAGATGTTCCCCTCTCAAAGGGCAGTACAACTGCTTTAAGAGTTTCCCAACGGTGGAAATTTGAATTTCAAATGCTAGTGGTTTACTTGTGTGTGGAAATCACAACGGCGTTCTCGGACAGAACTCAAGCAGCTTACTTTGAATGGTCGTGATTGCATTTTACCCCTCCATCCAAAGGTTTAGCGTCTCCACTACAATATTCTCATCTAGGGTTAAAAAAACATCCCCTAGGCAAGATGGACTCTCTGGATTCCCAAATATGGTGGCAATGGGCTGAGCTTGGGCCAGGCCGCCCTTGGCCCTAGCCCAACTCTAGGTCCCATAGAGCTGGCCCAGGTCCGACCAGGCCAAAAAAGGGCTTGGCCCAAGCCTTGTCCTAGCCTATCAGGGTTGGGGCTTGGGCCAATTGGGTCGAGCCAAATAAAATTGAAACTAAAGAAAAGAAAAAAAATAAAGAAAAAAGAGGACTGCTTCAGGCCAAACCAAGCCCAGCCTTGCCCTACATTCGGACTATGGCTGTCTGACACCTAGTCTGGCCCTCAAGCCACATTTCTTGTCTCGATCCGTAGTGTTTTAGGGCCAGGTTCACTCAACCGACCCTAGCCAGCCAGCTCATTGCCACCCTTGCCCGCGTGGTACTCATGCTACAGTGTAGTTGGCAAGTCAAGGAATAACAATATATAACAAATCAGCAAACCAAAACCCATATAACAAATCACTCTTATTCCAAAATGTTAGAAGCAAAAATGCGAATCGCCAAACGGTAGGTAAAAATTAAAGAATCGTGAATATTCCACATTGGACTCAAGAAAAAAAAGTGAAAAATGGGAAGTGCAAAGATGATACAAGATAATTTTATGATTTGCAGATATTGTATGGATACTTTAAACCCATTAAGGATGCAAATTGCTCCAAGTCCATTCTCCTAATCTCCAAGATCAAGAACTTGACAAAAAATCAAGATAATAGAGCTTGTGGCATCGTGACATTGGGATTCAGTGGCCATTAAAAGCCTTATGAGAGTATGTAATCGATATCTGATATAGTGAAACATAAACTCAGTGGGAGTGTGGTCTTTTGTGGACCATGATAGGCAAATGCTATTTGCCGATACTCAGATTTTGCTGTATATGCTATAGGCCAATCGAATTATAAAATCCCTATTATTTGGGTATGAAACAAAACTTTTGAGGGTTTATGGGTAATCTTTTGATGAGGTCGAAGTTGCCCAGGAGAGTGAGCTAAGGGACTGTGTGACCCTTGCGTGCGATGGTTGCCTCTAGACACGAGGGCCAAATCCTCATCACTGAACTATCACACAACATATACATATAATAGCCATATCTGAAAAGTATACCACCATTGAGAGTGAAGCGTATACATGTGCAAAAGATTAACTCTATGCACCATAGATGTATGATTGCATCTAATTTAGGTGGCCATGAGTTCATCTCTAGGGGAAAACCTATAATTCATAAATTGAGATTGTGTCCCCTTATCTATTTGGCTGACTTTGGTAGCCGAATCATGAATCCCCACAGTGGTCTGTGGGTCATGAAAACTACTAGATCAGTTTAAAAAAGCAAGTATGGATTATAGTCCACAGTAGTAGATGGAATGCTTCACCGATATTACAAAATACTAGACCTAAATGGATTTGATTCCCCATCAAAATAATCAAAATTATTTTTGATTATTTTGATGTTATATGATTCTTAAATTGATTATTTGAATTGTTATAAGTCTTTAGATATTTTATTTTTTTACAAAATGAATTTATAAATTAAAAATATTAAGAGGAAAATAAATTTTACTTTCTATATTTTAAAATCAATTTTATAAGTTTAAAAATTGTATTTGATGTGAGTGCCCACCATAAATCCTTATGTCGATATGTGTGGGGACCACCCATGGCCCATATAGGTGGCATGCCCCACCAAAAGTGAGTAGTCCTTTTGTTTTGATATGCCTTGATGTACATAGAAACAATTAACATGATGTGTTTTATAGAATCTTAAGAAGATTAGACTTTTAAAAGGAATATGTATAAATAAAGAGATTTATACAAAGATAGATATTATCTGATATTTTTCATGTTTTATATTTAATGAGATAGAGGTTTAAGAAGGTGAATGATAAGATTCTGCATCATCCTTTGAATCATGATGACTGATCTAAAAATTACATGACTCAGATCTCTCACCCCAAAGATTTTATATAATCAATGGTATGGATCTAATCTCCATAAAGATTGCTAACCTTAAGGAAACCTTAATCCCTGGAAACTCTATAAATAACGGTCATCTCTCCCATAAATCTCTACCCCTCTCATCTCCCTCTTTTATCTAAGATCTCTCTCTCCCTTAGAATATTTTTCTTAAGTTAGTATAGGGGCACGCCGCAAGTTAGGAGTAAAGAGGGGGCACACCCCACACATACAAGGTATTAAGGCCTTGTGGTTTATGTGACGTTCTATGTTGCTTTCATATTGATTAAGGGTTGTAGCCAAGGTTTTTCTATGCTTCAAAGATTTGAGATAGACCATTGATCCGGTGTGCCATTGGAAGAAGAGACTTTTATGCTTCAAAGTTCTAAGATAAACCATTGATCTCGTGTGTCATTGAAGTACGAGACCCAGTATGAGGTGTATTTAGTTCGGATGAGGTAATTTTCTGACATCTTGCTTTGTGGTTTACATTATTTTATTTCTTATATTTTTTATTCTCATAAACATTGTGTTGGTTTTATTTATTGAATAAAAAAAATTGTAATTAGTGATAATGATAAAATAATTTATTTTAAATAAGATTTATTGTATTTGGACTTTTATTAGATCCTATGTCCAACTTTCACTTGGTCCCTCAGCATCTGACTATTTGTTTTGTGATCTAGGTTGGACTATCGATCTCAACATTTGATAGGTTATGAGGTTGCTTGGACTAAAACCATGGTTGCGTAGAAATCGGGCCCATTCATAAATAAGCAAAACATAAAACACGAAATACATTTGTATGAAATTGATTCACATTCGAGCGTGAATTAGGACACGTTGACACAATATTAAACCGAAATAAACTTTCTTTGAGATTTGAAAAACATAGAGAACGTAATGAAAGTACGAAATACACTTTTGTACTAAAAAAAAAAGAAAATGAAAGTACAAAATACACGAATATTTGTTTTTTTGGGACAATTTTAAAAAACTCTAGTGTTACTTACAACCATTTGCATAACCACAATCTCAAAATCACAAACAATAAGAGCCGGTAACCGTATCCCCTTTTTAGCTAGGTCATCCGCTGCTTCATTCGCCTCTCGATAGAGGAAAAAGCTAATTTCAATGATCGACAACTGTTCATAACCTCTAGCCAAAAGAACCACAAAAACACGGTAATCCATGCTCCGTCCTACCCCACCAGTTAATAACATTTAATGAATCACCTTCTACTAATAAAGGTACCTCTATCGTTTTCTCATGATAACTTTTCAATCCCTATAATAGACAGAGCATAATTTGCTGGATTCGCAGACACCGCACCTCAGGGACCAGTATAGGGAAAAAAACAATATTGTGACCATTATCTCTAAGAACCCCTCGAACTTTCTCTTGGCCTGGATAACTAAATGAGCTAACATCGAAATTAAGTTTAAAACCACTTAGCATCGTGAGCCTTCATCTACTAACAAATTGGCTTTTGTAGATATGGTTCTGTTGGGTTTATGTGGCCTTATGAGTTCTTGTAAGATGAAATGATAGAGTGGAGCATGAACTCAGTGGGAGTGTAGTCCCTCGTGAACCATACCGGACTGTGCTTGACGATCTAGGCCAGTCAGTTGAAAAAAACCCATATTACCTAGGCATAAAGAACAAACTGAGAAGGGTTCTAATGAGTTAGCCCTTGATGAGGTCGAAGAATATGCTCGGATGAGTGAACCGAATGACTGTGTGACCCTTGTGTGTGATGGTGGCCTACAGAGACGGGGGCTAAAGCCTCATCCATGTAGCATCATACGGCATGCATATCGATAGATCGTTCGGTAAACACCTTTTAGGGTGAAGCGTATACATGTGCGAGAGATACCCCTATGCACCATAGGAGCTGTGGTCGCATCAGGTCTAGGTGACCTTGACTCTTTTTTAGGAGAGGACTTGAAATCCATAGACTAGGATTGCGATCCCTTGACTCATCGACCGGACTTTGGTGACCCATTAATGAGCCCCTGCTTGGACTGTGGGTCATGGGGAACACTCGGTCGGTCTGATAAAGTAGTGTGGTCTGTAGTCCACAGTTGAAGGTGGAGTGCCCCCATGATTGTTGATTCTTAAACCATATGGATTATTTTCCCATCAAATTAATTAAATTGTGTTTGTTTTATGATGGAAATTATTTTAAGATTATTATTTGAATTTTTATGAACCCCTGGATATTGCATTTATAATTTTTGGATTTATAAAATTAAATATATTGATTTTAAAATGGTTTAAATATTCAAATAATATTCTAAAATATTTTTATTAATTTTAAATATATAAAAATATCATGGGGGCCTATTATGCACATGGGCCTACCATATTTCTAGAAGGTGGGGTCCATGAGTGCCTCCCTTGGGTGGCACGCCCCACCCTTATTCTCTTTCCTATTTTTTGGTGATATGGCATATGGCTATATGGTTAGAAGATATTGACTAAAAATTGACTTGATATATCTTTGAAATATTTTGTGGAAAGATTGAGTAGACTTGTGTTATTTTATGGGAAGCACAATATTTTGATTAGATTTAATTTATTTAATTTCTATTGATGGGAAAATGGTTTAGAAAAGAGCGATAATAGTTTATGCACCTTCCATAATGTTGATGACCCATCTATGGAATGGATGACTCAAATCTCTCACCCCACAAGTCATCCAAGATCAATAATTCATATTTAATTTCACAAGAAGAGGCAAGCCAAAGAAAACCATAAGAAACTCTAATATTATTCAAAGCTTATAAAAAAAAATTGTCTCTACCTAAAATCTCTACACCTTATCTCTTGTACCTAATTCCCATCTTTTTCTCTCAAATTCCACAAAAGAGCATGCCTCACTTAGAATTTCTCTTTCTCTCTTAAGAAAAGCTTCTCTCTCTCATGAAAGCCAAATGGGGCACGTATCACTTTCTTATATTTGATCTCTCTCACACACATTGTAAAAGAACCTAAGGGTTTAGGTTATAGAGTTTTTCTCTTTCTTATCTCTCAACTATGGATTTTTGACTAAAGTTTTAGAGTTTAGCAAAAAAGATAATCCATCTCTTTCAAACTAGGTTGCTAAGAAAATTCACATAGGGTTTGAATTTGTGATAAAATGGGTTCATGTTCTATTACTGTGGCTTGACCTAAACTTGCTTTCCCGATTGAGATTGGAGGTTGATCATTGATCTCGTATTATCGGATAGTAGTGACTTGGTGTGAGGTGTAATAAGCTCGATTGAGGTAATCTTTGGTATTCTTCCTTTTGTTTTTTACAATTTTATCTTTTATTCTCAAGCATAGTGCATAACTGTTTCAATGACATCAAGTTATTACGATCTTGGTTTTATTGTTATGTTGGTTTTATTTTGAAATTTATCTTATTGTAATAAAGACCACCTGTAAGTTATCTTTTGCCAAAAGAAAGGGGTGAAGAAAAAAAAAAAAAAATCCCCGGTAAAAGAACACATAAGTCATTCTTTCAGGTTCTTCATTAGATCACTCAGGTTACAAAATATTTCAACTTGGGAAGGCCCGTCCCCTCCTTTGTGATGGAAAACCAACTCCAGAAACTCTGGAAATATTGTCATTTAATTTCCCCTCTTCCATCATTAAGGGTGGCAATGGACCCAGACCCGACCAAGGATCTGATGACCGTACCCCAACTCGGGTTTCAATATGGGTTCAAAACTTAGATTGAGTCCAAGATTTGGACCCAAACACTATTGGGGTCCGGATGCAGGTCCATGTAGACTCGACCCGAACCACGACCCAAATAGTGTTAATATTTAAATAGTATTTAATATATAATATTTAAATAAATATAAATATATATTTTTAGTTATTATATGTAAATAGTACATATATATATTTAACGTAATATTTAAATAATATATATATATATATACATATATTTGTGTCAATTCCAATTGAGTCCGGGTCTAGGTCCCAACTGACCCGTTGCCACCCCTTTAACTAACATCACACCATCGAAAGTATAGTTTATATACCTAAATATTGAGCTGCTCAAACTCTCTCATGGATTTTGATCTAATTTTAAAATAGCCCCTATTCTTCTATTAATCAAAGTTCAGAAAGCCCATTGATTGACTTAACCTTGTGTATTTTGAAGTTATTTAAATATCATTATAACTTTAGAAATTATTCATATCAATAGGTTGAGTGTAGTTAAGATGATGATGTTAAAATAAATGAATGATAAGATAAAAAAAAAAAATATAATACAAAATAAATACGCTTGACGAAACTTAAAGTAACTCCAACAAGCAATAAAACATGTGAAAAATAGACTTAACCGGTTTGACATTCTCGAGTGTCGACCTAGAATATTGGTAGAGACGATTAGGAGAGATGATTTGCTAAAAAACGAGGGAGTTAAAAGCGCACAAAAATGCCTGTGGGTGAAAAACGCACTCAGAGGTATTTACGAGCAAGTATTTAAGCGGGTGTTCCATGTTTTCCCCTCTCAACCCCTGTCGACTCTCTCTCTAAGCGCCTGTCGACTCTCTCTCTAAACCCTGTCGAGAAAAAGCCAGCTCGCCGGAAAAATCAAGAAATGCCTCGTCGATCTTCTCCATTAATTTTAGCATTCGTGATCGTAGCCCTCCTCTTCCTCTTCCCCCTCCATTGTCTTGCTCGACACTTCGTCCTTGTCCTCGAGAAGGACGACCTCAAAGATAACCCGTCGCCAGAAAACTCCGACGACCAATTTTCCGGGGATGAAAGCGCCGGAGATTCGATTGAATGGGATGAATTTGGAGATTCGGACTCCAAGTCAGAAGAAGAGCTGGACCCTGGCTCTTGGAGACCAATCTTAGAGTCATCGGATTCATTTGCCCGGAATTTTACCCCGGAATCTGACGACGGGTTGTACTTTTCCGGCTTGGGGAAACTGATTAATGGGGTTTCCAAAGGAGAGGTGGAGCTTGTTGAGGAAGCGGCCAAGGAGTTTGTTGTTGCTTCTAATGGTGGGCATGCGCATGCACAATCCGTTTTAGGGTTTCTCTATGGATTGGGAATTGGGGTCAAGCGCAGTGATTCAAAGGCTTTTCTATATCATAGTTTTGCTTCTGCTGGTGAGAATATGCAGTCAAAGATGGCTCTGGCTTATACTTACTTCAGACAAGAGGTAATTTTGATTACTTATTTTGAATCTTTGTTATTTTATTGAATACCGTGGATTTGGGCCATGTAGTAGTTGAAGTTATGGGTTTTTTTGGTTTATTATGATGAATGTGGTGGGGAACTGACAGCATGATTTTTCTTGAAATACGGTGGAGTTGATAGTTGAAGTCTTCAGGAGATTAGGTTGGGAATTTGCAGAAATGAACTGGTTTGTATTTGATCTATGAATTCTAGGCCTTTTTTTAGTTAATTTTGCATTTGATGAATTTTCAGATTGCTAAACTGTTTGAACAGATACATATACTGGTGTTTTCTTGTTGGTTAATATTTAAAGTTGAAATCTTTCTTGTTACGGTCATCTTTGTGTGGCTTGAGTTGGAATGTTGGGATGAGCTTGGTTTAATTAAGGTCAAGATTCTCTCTTTAATCTTGATTTAGCTTGTAATTCTTCTGTGTTGTTTGCATTGAAAATTTCTCTTTGCCTTTTATATTTTTGGTTCATAGTGGGATTTGGGTGCTCTTTGCGTTGTGGTTCTTTGACATTTTATTGATTGGTTGTGGGTTATGGATTGGTTTAAGGATCTTTCTCTCTTGCATTCAGTGTGCAAAATACAAACTAGGAAATTAGAAACAAACTACATGTTTGGCGACCTTGGTTACATTATGGAATGTATGGTTTGGTTTATTTCAAGCTTGTAAGAGTTCCTGTAGTATTTCTGTTTTGATTTCATTATGTAGTGGAATAAATGTTTAAGAAGGTGCTTTACATATATGTCCAATTCATCATTTGAATTGAATGTTGTTTAGGTTCTTCCTTTGTGTTTCCAATTTCAATATTTCGATATTTATCCCTTTGGCTCACATTCCTGGTGCACCACTTAGACATTTCTGATGTAAACTGCTTCCTTATTTAATTTTAAGGAGATCTTTTTGCACTTCTGATAAATCATTGTTACTAAATATTACTTTTCGCAAATGCCTCATATTTGTGAGCTAGTTTTGTACATGTGAATTGTATGTTTTGGTGAAAATGATGGCCATGTTGGCCATTTTCTTTACATTCCAACCATTGTTTCCTTAGTTCTTAATATTGTGCTATTGATAGGCATGTAAAAAGTGCTGTACACTTTTTCATTTTGCATTGTCTTGAAAAGCCCTAGCCCTGGGTGTCTAGTTAGCGCCTTGTGGTGGGGTGGGTGCACTAGGTGGCATGAAGCACCTCAGCTGAGGCCCCTACTTGGGCTTCCCATGGTCTGAGGGCAGAACAGCCCTTGGTCCATGGGCAATATGGTCTTTTGCCACATATTAAGTGGAGGAAGAAATTGGGGGCATTCTAACCCCGTCCCAGTTGCTTCCTAAGTGTTTTTTTTTGTGGCCCTCCTTTTTCTTTCAAGTGGCACAGGTTGTTTTAAAACAATTTCAGCCACCCCCTTCCATACAAGCCTAACCCTTTTTCATTTTTTTCTTTTCCAAGAAAAGCTCCTCTCAATGTTATAAATAGATTTGGATATTTTTGAGGTTTGAAACCCATTTCAGTCCAAACTGACCCCTTGTCTAAGTGCTCCCTCACTCTCTCCCTTGCTCCTGCTTTAAACCATTCCCTTCTCCCTCTTCAAACCCATAAAATCTCTCTGTCTCTCTATCTCCTCTCTCACATACATAACAGTATCCATGGCTTCGGAGGAATATCTCTCTTTACCATTTTATCAAACAATGAAAAGTCATCTCCAGTTCCTTACTTTGCAAAGCTCGCTTATGAGAATGTTGAAAGTCAAAAGGTGATCAGCAATAGTCACAATACACGTTCAACATCTGGTTATGAACAGCTAGGACAACCTAGTAAATCTTTTCCTTCATTTAAACATGAAGAATTGTATTGTAAGGTCGTGGGCCTTTGATTGAATTCATCTTACTAAACCATTCTACATCCTTTCAGCCATACCCATCTTGATATGAGAAGAAATCATGATTGTAAATCATTCACCTTTTCCCAGTCGTTAAACACTTAGGCCATCTCCTAAATCTTCTTTATACATCAAACACCATCAAATAGTTTGCTAGACGCAATATTAACCAAAGCCTAATCTTCTTTAGGGCCCACTTAATGATATCTATATCATCTTGATAGGTTTTCACTTTACAGTAACCTAAGATCATCATCGTTATCATCAAATCCTTAGCCCAATTATTTAGGGTCGGCTACATGAATCATATTTCTCCATTCTTCTCTATCAAAGGCCATACCCTCAGTAAGACCAAAAGTCACCATATCTTTTCTCACTACTTCTATCCATGTCCCCCTTGCCTTTTTAGAGCCTTCCATTTGAACTAAATCGCACCTCCAAACCGGTGCTCTATTAGGTCTAAACTGCACATGGCCAACCCACATAAGTCTACTTTCCCTCATCTTATCGCCTATCAAAGCCACACTTAAGTTCTTGTATGTATTCATTCTTAATTCTATCATTTTTTGTCTTGCCACTCATCCATCTCAACATCCTCATCGCTGCTACGTTCATCATATGGATGTGTTATTTCTTAACTGCTCACGTTCCATCCCATAAAGCATGGCTGGTCTTATAGCCATCGTATAGAACTTCACCTTCAACCACCCAACTCTAATTCTATGTGCAACATTTTTCTCAATCTCTCCATTCTCATGGATTATTGACCCTAGATATAGGAAACAATCTCTTTTAGATATTTCTTTACCATCAATCTTAACTACTTCGTTTCTACTCCTATTGTTACTAAATTTGCATTCTATATATTTTATCTTATAGTCCAGCTAATGTTAAAACCTTTAGAGGTATATATATTACTGACGTCATACATTATCGCGTAATACATTACTGCGTAATACATTACCTGCAATGGATTGTTATGGTTTGGGTAGTATTTAGATACAACCTGGGAAATACATTGCTACTATTTGGCTATGTCTGGAAGAAATATGGGAAATGCATTACCAACATTTTACTAGCACTTGCCTATAAACTATCATTTCTTTCTTTTTTGTCACAAAATTCCACTGAAATGTGGAATTAAAGTCATCATCACACCATTCCACAAGATTTCTAATAATAACATCATCACCATTCTAGAGAGAGAGAGAGAGAGACAGAGACAGAGACAGATAAATAAAGGTATTAATAATCACCATTCCAAAGATAGAGAATGCAAAGTATTGATCTTAATCATCACAATTTTAAAGAGAGAATGAGAATGTGAAATAATTGTCATTATTCCAACAAGATTTGCTAATGTTCATAGATATAGAAACTGATAGAGAAGTTCATCATCATCCACCAAAAGAGAGAGATAATGTATGTGTATGTGTTAGAGAGTAAGTATAGCAAATACGATAACAAAAATTCTCAAGTCCAAAAACCATCTCGGTCAAATAAAGAGAGAGAGGAACCCAAATAAAAAAAGTGTGGATTTCACTCCACTTTACATGTCACCACCTTCTTGAAAATACTTCGAGTTAATCCAAAACACTTGGTCTTTTTTAGTCATTTCTAAGAATTCGTCACTAATATTTACGTTTGACATCATTTCATTATATGCTCCTATGAAGACGGGTCGAGCAAGGCCGTGGACCTGTTTAAGAGCTTTGTAGACCTCTTGTATATGTGGGTTTCCTCAACTCTACAATTGTAGCACCAATTTCTTTCACTGCTACACCTATTGACTCCACAGTATCAACCATGGTTTTCTTTTTCTTCCTCGATGTCATAACCGAGGTTGATTTCTCGAATGGATTGGTGGTCATTCCATTCGTCCTTGATTGGATCGGTGTCTCTGGGAAGTCCTTATCATCACCTATTTCTTCAACACCATCATCATCATCTAAGCCTACAATCGTCTCTCGAATATCCTCAACATCATCATCAATGTCCCTCTCTAGTTGTGCTGCTGTCTTGGCACCAACAACCTCGGCAAAATCATTGTTGACAATTATGCTCAGCTCCTTCCAGTTTTCAAAGTACTTCCCTTTGAAGTTCTTTGCAAGGAGATTAGACTGCAAGATTAATATAATATGCATTAACTTAAATAACTAATTCACATTTTATCAAAATAATAAAAAATTAGATAGATGAGAAACATACATATACCATTATATAGTCATCCCATAAAGATTCATCGATAATGGCCACATGTGATTCTTCATTCCATCCAAAGCCACTTTGATCCTTCATTTTTTTGACAGCCTTGTAGTTCTGACTGCGCTCAAAGTTTATTCTTAAAAGCATAGCATCCCTTCTCAAGTTCATTCCAAGATTGGCATTGAACTTCTGCTCAATTGCACTCCCATTGCTCATTTTTAAAAGCTGATTCGAGCTTCTTAATGAGCAAGCATTGCTCAACAAGTAGCTCCAACAAAATTGTCTCCATTTAAGTTTGCTCCCTGTCTTGGGATTTGACCGAGTCATTGGAATTTCATTGGCCATGTCTAACATGAATTATCAAATATCACTATCACATCAACTATTAAAAAAAATTCACATGGAATGCATTCATCTAATATAGCAATGTAAAATACAATTACAAAGCTAAGTTATACATGAGCAAAATAGAAATTTACATAGATTTAAAGGGGTCAATATTTAACAGAAAAACATAAAGCAAAATCATGCAGTGTTCTAAAAAGCGGACCTCCCAGCACCTCGGCGGCTGCCTAGGCGGATCTGGGGGCCGAGGTGCATCTCTCAAGCCTAGGCGCCCTAAAAAAGCGGTGGTCCCCAGGGACTGCACCCCGCCCAAAGGCGGAAAACAGTTTCGTGAGTGGCATTTTTTATCCTTTTTTTTTATACTAAAGGGCAAAAAATGGGGGTTTTAGGTCCATTTGAAACCTAAAACTTATTGGAGCCCATTTTAGAGAGAGAAAGGCCCCAAAAAGCTAGTTTTTTTGGTGATTTCTTTAGGATCGAAGGGTTTCTCAAAGTTATGAGAGATTGATCAAAACATCACTCATTGATATTATATTTAATTTTTGATATT